TTGCAGATTAAACGGTACCGTTTTTCTTATCTTAGCATGGTGTATCTTCTGATTTAAACTAGATTCCAAATATATATATGCTTCATCTTTAAAATGTTTAGTTGTTCCAATTTAATAATATCCATCATTTGGACAGCATTGCAGTGCGTTTATGTAGCTGTCCATGGTGCTGGTGTAGGCATTCTAGTATAATAGATGTGATCTGAAGGCCGCAATAATTATAATAATAATTAAGTCACCTTTCTGATATGTGCATTGCTCTTTGTCTCTGGTTACCCAAAGGATAGACAGATAGCACATTAAGCTGATATACGCCTAGACAATTGTATTACTCATATTTGCTCATATTTTCATGTTTTGTGAAAAGGAGATACGGCAAGGTTTAATATATGCTACACCTGTCTTTAAATAAATATATGAGGGAGCTGGACATTATTTGCCATTACCAGATTGGCATCTTGATGCATTTATCTTGAAGGATTAAACGAATTTATGAGATTTTTTTGTTATAATGTAGTATTTTTAAATGACCACATGGGGACATTGTAGACCATCACATTTTCATAGTGCTCTTGGTTGTTCGAAGCTCCTCCTAGATTTAGATGATGGTGACGATGATGCTTTGCAGGGCTTTGTTACAAGAGGGGCAGTATGAGAATACATTGTGCGATCATCGCTTTGTCCTTTACTTCTTATATACACGGAAATCTGGATTCTTCCACTCTATTTTCACCTTGAAAACTACGATCCATATGCTGTGCTCGCACAGGATAGAAAATGTCGACAGGGAGGATATGCAGTTCTTTTGGGATTTATGTAGTCGTCTTTCTTTTGGATTGCTGCTGGCATGTGGTGACTGGGCAGCTCTCTTACTCTGTATCAGAGGAGGTAAACCCAGGGACTACTGTGGGAAATCTCGCTAAAGATCTAAATCTTAACGTGCATGACTTGAGGACGCGTATGTTTCAGATTGTTAGCGGATCAAAGATAAATTATTTCGATATAAATTTGAAAACGGGTAGTCTCTATGTCAGTGAAAGAATCGACCGTGAGGAGCTTTGCGCAAAAGCTGCAATATGTACTGTTAGCGTAGAGGCCGTGATCAACAATCCACTGAAGCTTTATCGTTTAGATGTAAATGTAGTCGATATTAATGATAATGTGCCACATTTTCCTGAGAATTTGCAGTATCTTAATATTGCGGAAAGTGCTGTGCCAGGGGGGAAATTTGGATTTATAGGGGCATCGGATCTCGACGTTGGAAAGAATGACGTTAGTTCATACAAGTTGAGTCCAAATGATTACTTTTCTTTAGAGGTCCACAAAGGAAGGGATAGTGTGTCTGCCGAGCTGGTGCTACAGAAAGCTCTAGACCGAGAAACACAACCTACTGTTAATCTTACCGTGACTGCTGTCGACAGCGGAAACCCACCCAAGTCAGGAACATTGCAAATCATTGTAAATGTCTTAGACATTAATGACAATGCTCCGGTTTTCAGTAGGGCTTTGTATAAAACACAGATTCATGAAAATCTACCAATGGGTAAAACAATTATATTTTTAAATGCAACAGACGCAGATGACGGATTAAATGCTGAAACTGAATATTCTTTTAGAAGTAAAGGTCAGGATCATGTTTTAAATGTATTTCAAATAGACTCTAAAACGGGAGCGATTTCAATTAAAGG